TCTCTCTTGAGCAACGGATGCTCTTCCCCATTTAAACCAGTCCTTTTCTCCAGGCCATCATTTAACTCAGCTCAAGAGAGTTTATTAACTTTGGGGTATTTTCCTGTCACAGAGTTCAAAAGACCTGAACAAATTGATGGGTTTGTCAGACATATTGCTGTGAATATAGAGAGAATTTAATCCAAGTTTTTAACTGTTTTATGTAACAGTTAGAGAGCTGTTGAAAATAACTGAGTCAGTTTGAACAGAATGTATATTTGCCGGGTAGATACTGCTGATTTTAGGATGTTTCATTATTACTTGATTATATTAAACAATGTGAAAGATGGTAACAAAGACAGCAGTAATTTTGTGGGTAAAAGTGAAAGTGTGTAGTGTCCTGTCAGTCCTGTTCAGGCGATTTTGCTATAGGAGAAATGTGAAGAGAGAACTTGGTACATTCCTTCCACAATCTGGAGTATCCCATTCCAGTCCAAGCCCCTCTGAAGTGTTGGAATAAAACCTGGACGTCTCCTGCCAGCATCCAGCACTGGGCATTGCCTGGAATAAACTGTGCACAACTGGTGTCTCCTGAAGGCTGTTTGCATTAAATAAACTGTCACAATGCGAGTTTAGTGTTATGGTTTATTTTCCATCACAACTGATGGTGATCCAGGCACATCCCAAAGTCCAGGGAGTTGATATTTTCAAAGTAACACTGTGGATGTTTCCGTGTCTGACACGTGTCTGCTGTATTCACCACTTGGCAGTCAAAGGTGTCTGGCCAACTTCAGTCCCATGTATTCCCATATCCACATGCTGGAGGATGTATTGGATATGATCTTTTGGCTGGTTCTTGCTGCAAGTGTCTTTAAGCTTCTGAAAACATGTACTCAGCCTGCCTTTCCTGAGACTCCTAAAAATACAGATGGAATAAAAACAGTGACATTCTTTTGGTGCTGATGTTTCATGGCTCAGTGTCTTTTCTTTTTCTCTTTACCATGAGGTTTGTTTTCTTCATACCTCAGAGCTGGTATCTCCTTCTTGTTGCTCAGATGGAGCTTTAACGAATGTGCCCCTTGGTGTATCAGGACTCCTTGGTCACTTGAGTTTTTCCTCATTGTCTGTGGATTAGGCATTCATGGGTGTTTTTTCATTCTTTTGAACCCACAACAGAGATTCATTGTTACCTTTTCTGATGGCACAATGCATAGAAGACTGGAGTATATCAGCCTGTATGTTGTCAGTATCCTATAATTTTTCTCTCTTGGGCCTTGGATACCATTATCCATTGATAGGTAGCAGCTCTTTGTTCCCATGAGTGCCCTTGAGGCAAAACAGTGCTTTGTGCTGCTCTCTGAATGGCTGCAGCAGAAAATGAAAAGCCACTGAAGTACCCTAAAAGGGATGTCCTTTTCACAGCATCTCCTGTTCTATTGCCATGCCATAGCTTAGGAATTAGGATCTGTTGATGCCAATGAAGCCATATGATCTTTAACCACTGCCAGGAACTATTCATAATCAAATGCCCCCAAAGCCATCTGTCCTACCCTGACCAGAGTCACCATCACTTGGAGGCATGAAATAGGACTGATTCATGCAGCCTTGCAGGAATTGTCTTGCAATAGCTCTTAATCAGAGGGTGCTCTTTCCTCTTCTGTGTGATGCTGACAGACTGTCACTGAAGGGTTTTCCAGCACTCCCACCACACTCCCTTCTCCATGTGTTCAACTCCAACCTTGTGCTGGGGACTGTTTGCAGCGTGTCTGGCAATCGCAGAGGCCCCGGATAAAGTCCTTTGGCTCATGGATAGGTCAGAAAAGTGGTGTCAGTCATCTCTGAGATGGGGCTGCTGAACCAGCACGTGCTGCAGCTTCCTGTTGGCTGGGCCTGGCACGAGTGGCAGACTTGGAGTGGTGGGAAGAGGTTCAGGACTACTTTTGGCAGCAGCCGGTCATTAATGCAGATGGGTTATAATGGGACACTGTATGTACCTAGAAATAGAAGGAGGAAATGATTGGCTGTGCATCACACAGACTGGAAACGTGTGTAATGCAGAGAGAACAATCCACAGATGAGGCAGATGTGATTGGCAAAGCTTGGGAGAAAGGAATAGAGAGCCAGAGGCTACTCTCCCCAAAACTCCCTGTGGAGTCTGTGGCAAAGAACGGACTAGGACCTCTCAAGGGATGGAAATGGTGTTTCTGCAGGTGGCTGGATTTTTGCAGATTTCCTGGTTTGGTGTTTGTATCTATTTCCTCCTATAGGCTGGGGTTGTACTGGTTCTATGTTTTGGAGTTGTTTAAGTCCCTTCATAGCATTTCAGACTATAGGGAAGGTTGTTTCCTTCTTGAGCTGTCAGGCCTTATCCGTACGGTTCCAGAATATTGGGAGCTGAACTTCATTCCTTCAAGTGTGCTTGATTTTTCTGAGATCTTTTCATGCCCCACTCTGGTTTTTGTCCCCTCTCAGCAGGGAAATCCTTCATTGTGCTCTGCTCCATCGCAGTCTATATTGGAGCTTTTTAGTTCCAAAAGTGTTGAAGTTGGAAGGGACATCTGGAGATCATCCAGACCAAGCCCTGGCTCAGGGCTGGCTCAGCAAGAGCAGGTTCCCAGTGTCAATCTGGTTTTGTACACCTTCAGTGCAGACACCGCAGCCTCTGGGGGCAGCATGTTCCCACATTTCACCTCTTTTACAGGGAAAAAAGCTTTTCCTTGTGTTTAAACATATTCCACTTTGTTTCCACTGACTCCTGTCACAGGATGCCATTGAGAAGTAACTGGCTCAATCTTCTGTTCACCCTTCTGTCAGAGATTTATGCACATGAATCTAATCCTCCTGAGCCATCTCTTCTCCAGGCTGAACATCCCAGGCTCTCCCAACCTCCCACCTCTTTGGAATCCCCTCTGTATGAGGCTCATGGGCCAAGACCTTCTCCAACTCTTGTTGACAAGTCCTGAACTGTGGCTGAAAGGAAACCTGTGCTTTTGGGCTTGGATTTTGGAGTCATGGCTCTCTGAACTCCTATTATCCCTGGTTTATATGCTATTGTTCCTTCTCTTTCTTTCCTTTCCCCTCCCAATGGATTACAACCCTTTCCATGAAGAAAAGGGAAGAATCTTCATGGTTTCCTTCCTGGCCTGGCAATGTTGAACTTATTTGCTTTTCCACCTGTGATTGCTGCAATAAATACACTAAAGCTTTGTTAACTCACACTAATAATCATGTATTACATATTTTAAATCACCCAGTTTTGCAAATTTATCAAACAGAACACATCAAATAGAGATCAGTCCTTGCTGGTTGATCTTGATGCTCAGCTCAATATGTGCAGGAATACTGGACTCTGGAATTTGTTAACATAATCTTTGCAAATAAATACTTTTTTGGATATAGTGATTTGCAAAACTTCCTCTGGCATTGTGCAATATTTTGCAAAAATGTTTTTAGTTCTTACTCACTTCATGTGAGTTTGTCCAGGGAGACCTTAGAGCCCCTTCCAGTGCCTAGAGGGGCTCCAAGAGAGCTGTAGAGGCACTTAGGACAAGGGCCTGGAGGGATGGTTTCCCACTGCCAGAGGGCAGGGTTAGATGGGATATTGGAAAGGAATTCTTCCCTGTGAGGGTGGTGAGGGGCTGGGATAGAATTCCCAGAGAAGCTGTGGCTACCCCATCCCTGGAAGTGTCCAAGGCCAGGCTGGACGGGGCTTGGAGTGACCTGGTCTAGTGGAAGGTGTCCCTGCCCATGGCAGGGGGTGAGACTGGATGATTCTTAAGGTCCCTTCCAGCCTAAACCATTCCATAATGTGATCCTGTAATTGTGTATTGTCCAAGTATGATTTCCCTTGGCTTTTTTTGTGCCTTTTAAAGCTAATCCTACCTTAGACACCATTTCTCCAAGTCAGCAGGGATGCTCCTCAAAAACTAAAAACATGCTTGGATGTTAATAAATATGGGAAAATTCACCTGTGGTGGCTCCCCCTGAAGTCAGTATATATATTCTGTATTTTTTTCAGGCTCTACGGTGTTAGGAGAGCACAGCTTCTTCTCTTGTATTTTCTCTTCTTCCTTCAGGCACCTTCTCCACCCTTTCTTCTTGACATGGAAATACATTTTGAGGTTCTGCAACTCTGAAGGAAAAAGTCTGTTTTCCTAACTGAGAAAAACCCATTTCACTTGGTCTGTGCCTGGAAAGAGTTGAAACATTTGACTGAATTATCAAAACAAATGAGGTTTGAATGTCTGACATGCAGATGTCATCCCAGGAGCTTAAAGATTGGCAAAGGTGTAACCAAGGGAAAGCAGAATGTTGTTTGTGCACATTATAAATATAAGGTTATCAAATGTGCTGGGCCAGAGGGCAAATCTGTTACAGGGATTATTGGGGAAGTCTCATTTTCTTCCTATATCTCAAAAAATATATTAGTTTTGTAGCCTGTGTCCATATGAATTTGTGTTATAAATGTACTCAGGAAGAAAGTCTGGCTTGTAAAATATTTTTTTCCTGTTTGTTTGGTTTGGGGTGGGCTCTTCGTTTGTTTGGGGGTTTTTGGGTTTTTGGTTGGTTGATTGGTTTTGGGTTTTTTTGGTTGGGTTTTTTCCTCACAGCTGGGTCAGAGATTTAAGATTAAATTGCTTTTCTCTTTTCCCCTGAGGAATTCTCAGAGTGATTTGGGATTACTTTTAAAAAGTATGGCCCTGTATTGAAATAGAACAGGGAATTTGTGTTCAGCTTCAAATGGGAAGAATAATTTCTCTTCAGCTGTGCCTTCCTGACCATGTAATCTGGGATATACCTGGGGTATATTTGGGATATCCCTTCCAATCTGGGACATACCTAGGTTGTGGAAAGGGATTTAGTTCCTGGAGTTAGAACAGAGCTGGATCTTTAAGTTACTATTTACCTTGGTGCTTTATTTATCAGTATATTTTTTATAGTGACTTGCTTCGTATCAGCTGAATTATTGAATTGACTTCATACAAATTAGCAAAAATAATTTCATTTCTTTTCTTTTTTAGCCTTCTGTTGAGTCTTCAAGCCCAGGTAAATATTTTTTATGATTTCCAAGGTTTTATTGGTATCCTACTGGTGGAAAAGCTTTCCAGGAGCTACTTTAGCTGGACTGGTATTATCTCTTGAGCTTTTATTTCTTTCAGAGAAATAATTAATTGCTTTTTAGTTAAACCTCGTAGTCACACGCTTAGTGTGAATACAAGCTTTGGAAAATGAAATTTAAATTGTCCAAGGACACAAGTGGAAAAATACGAGCAGGGTTGGAATTAAAACTCAGGTATTGCTGAAGGGCATCTGCCAAACCATTCATCCATCCATTTCTTTTTCATTGTCACTAAATATAAACAGACCTCTCTACAAAGAACTGTGAAAAATAAAGGCATGGGGGATAATAACTCAGAAATAAAATCTGCATAACTCTGAAGCTTGTTTAATGTAAATTTTGGAAAAGTCATTAGTCTGTCTTTGTAGTTATAAACAAAGAAGCTTCCAAAGAATAAAAGGAATGACTGCCAGGAGTTTGTATTTTATGAGTATTTCTGCTCCCAGTAGAACTCGATTTAGGCAGGTTTATGATTATTTAAGAGTAAAGTGTTCAAAATCTGAACTTTTTCCAGACATTTAACTAGGGCCTGATGTCCAGGGATAGGGAACTGGGAGATCTGGCTAGTTAAACACTCTCCTGGTTATTTCTGCCAGGACCTCTCCCTATCCAAAGCTTTCCCTGAATAACAAACCTGCCTTTCCCTGACATAAAGGATGGAGGCAAGAGATTTGAATTTCTGAGTATAACCTACGCATTAAAATGTCATCAAAATAATAAAAATAAATTAAACTCTGCGAGGCCATGATGTAACTAAAAACACTGTTTAAAATGTTTCCCATCAGGAGGTTCAGCAACATCTGATGACCATGAGTTTGACCCATCAGCTGATATGCTGGTGCATGACTTTGATGATGAACGGACATTAGAAGAGGAGGAAATGATGGAAGGAGAGACAAACATCAGATCTGAAATAGAGGATCTTAACAGGGTAGGTGGCCTTAAGTAGTCCTAAAGGAGAAGCACAGCCTCACACAAAACATATGCAGGGTTTTAGCCCTTATATTTGGGATTTTAAAAAATGATCACCCCAAAACCAATAATAGATAAATAATAGAGAGGAGGGGGAAAGGGGCTGAACCAAATGTCTCAAAAATTGGGGAAAAGAAACCATTACATAAATAGTTTATATATATATATATATTTATATATTTATATATGCAATAAATACTTAATAAACATATTTTATATATAAATACTTAATATATAGATACTATATATAATATACATATACTGTGTATATTATGTATACATTTTAGATTTATTTCATGGATATAATATACACATACTGGTAAAGAAATACTTTATATATAACATAAAAATATACATATTTTTATACATGAATACTTAATATACATATGTTATGTATATTATATATACTATGTATAATGTATATACATTCTCGATATATAATATACACATACTGGTACATAAATACTTTTTAATATATAAATAGTTAATATACGTAATTTTATATATTGTACATATACTGTGTAATATGTATACATTTTAGATCTATATAATATACACATATAGGTACATTAATATGTTAAATATATAAAATAAATACTTAACGTACATATTTTTATATAGAAAATACATATTCTATATATAAAATATACGTATACTGTGTATAATGTATAACATTTTAGATATATATTACGTGTATAATGTACATACACTGCTACATAAATACTTAATACTGGTACATAAATACTTAATACTGGTGCATAAATACATAAATACTTAATAAATGTATAAAGCCGTTCTTCTTTAGTTTCTTTTTCCTTATTTTTATGGTATAGGTTTTGCATCTTAGAGATTTGCATTTTGAGTTAATATAAGTTAAAATATCCTCTGACTAGACTTGTATATTCCACCTGATTAGCGCAAGTTATTATTTTATAAAACACTTGCACCTATATGTAAAAAAACCACAAACCTCATAATTTTGCTTATTTTTTGAATTTTTTTACAAATATCTATATAATAATACAGTGGAGCATATAGGAATATCATTTTAAAGGAAGATGCAGAGAAAATTATGTATAAATCCTATTTAACCTAAGTGATTGTGCCCATATGACTTTAAATTAATTTGGTGCATTTAATCTATATTTCCAGTGTAAATGATAATTTCTTTCTGGTAATTTCAGGTTATGCTGTCACTTATGTATTGTCTTCAGTTATTTCTCAGGCAGGAATAATATCCTTAAATTACCAAGTAGGTTTATTATAAATGCAGAGTAATTTAGGTACTGCCTGTGGCCTCGTTGTCTGCAAAGGCCTCCAGAACAGCTCATTAATGATTCACAGATGCATATTCAATGTACAAATCCTATTTAGCATAGGTGATTATGGCAATATGGCTTTAAATTAATTAGTGCACTTAATCTATATTTCCAGCGTAAATGATGATTTCTTTCTGGTAATTTCCAGGTTGATATTAAATGGTAAACATAAAGCTAAATAAATAGTTGGTTAATCTAAATATGCTTCATCAAGACTAAATGAGAAATAGAGCTCCACATGTGTGTCATGTGGATTTTAAGTTGAAAATACGGCTTTTTTCCTGTCACATTTTGTGTAATTCTATCACCACATTACAACTCTTGAGTTTATCCCCTCATATCCAGTGGTTACCTCTAGTTGTGGGATAGCAGGTTTATATATATATATATATATATGTATATATATATAAAATTTTATCCTTTTTAAGTCATGGGTGACAGACCATCCAGATCTCAAAACTACTGTCAGGACAAGTGCTATTCTGTCACTTTCCCCCAAATTTACCTGTATTATTTCAGATTTTCCCAGGCTGGGAATGTCCCTGACTGAGCAGTTCAGTCAGGTTTTGCAAACGCAGTTTTGGACTTCAGTGGTTTCACTTCCAATTGTCATAAAAATTCCCCCTTCCCCTGAGGAGCGGGGTCTTTCCAACTCATGGGCTTAAGCTCTGGTGCATCTCCAACGTGTTGGTCTTTGAGGAGACAGGTTGGGAGAGCTGGGGGTGTTCACCTGGAGAAGAGAAGGCTCCAGGGAGACCTCAGAGCCTCTTCCAGTGCTAAAGGGGCTCCCAGAGAGCTGGAGAGGGACTTGGGACAAGGAATGGGACAGGACAAGGGGGAATGGTATTAAACTGGAAGAGGATGGGGTTAGATGGGAAGGAATTCCTGGCTGTGAGGGTGGTGAGGGGCTGGGATGGAGGTCCTGGAGAAGCTGTGGCTGCCCCACCTCTGGAAGTGTTCAAGGCCACGTTGGACAGGGCTTGGAGCAACCTGGGCTAGTGGAAGGTGTCCCTGCCCTTGGCAGGGGGTAGAACTGGATGAGCTTTAAGGTCCCTTCCAGCCCAAAGCATTCCAAGATTCCATGGCTCTATGAGGTTGAGCAGCACCATGTGCTTCTCTTTGAGTTTGTTTAAAGGCAGTAGAATATTGTCGCCTGCAGAGCAGGAGTCACCCTCTGCTGCTCTAGTGTGGGAAAAAACACAGTTCCCTAAGAGCAGAGCAGTAGGAAGGGGATCCAAACTATTGGATTTGGTGATTCTCAGTGATACATCTTGAAAGGTCAGTTTTTTTGAGCAGGAAAGCCCTGCAAGGGCGTACGGCAGATTATCCTTGATCATACCCAGACAAGTATTCCTTAATACCATTTTTGTGTGTATCAGTGTCTGTACCAGATGTGATCAAGTCCTTCTCACCTCCCTCTGTTCCAGACATGAGTTATAATCCATTTCTTATGGAATTCCAGAGTGGTTTGGGTTGGGGGAGAACTTAAACTCATCCAGTTCCACCCCCTGCCATGGGCAGGGACACCTTCCACTATTCCAGGTTGCTCCAAGCCCCGTCCAAGCTGGTCTTGGACACTTCTTCCACATATGGAATTTTAATGTCTTGGATAATCGTTGTGACCTTTTCAACCTTTTCTATTTTTGCAATCCTGAAGCAACAGAGAAATCACAATTTGTATTTCCTCTGGTCCTTGGAGCTTTTTGAATTGCAATGAACTGTTTGAAGTTAAGAGGCTCTACCTAAGAAAAATGTTGTAAATACAAAACCCCTTTCCTAGATAACATAGTAATATTCATATTGCATAGTTCACACATACCTGCAAATTGCAGTAGAAGTCCTTTTTAATTCTCACTGTCTTTACAAATAGGATAGGGGTGCTTAAAGGAAGTATATTACTTTCCAAAATGTACTGGAGAACATTTGGATAATTAGGAATAGGAGTTTTCTGCAAACTGTACCAGGTTTTAATTAAGACCACAGTCCTTTCATGTCATCTGTGTCAGTAAAATATTAATTCTTTGCTTCTAAGAGTTCTTTCCATTAAATGGTATGATGGGGACCAAGAAATCAAGAGGGAAGGGGAGGACGTTTAAGTCCACATGGTCTGTGTGTAAAGCTTAACCAAAGAGTAGAGCAATAAGTGGCAGAATGTCTTAGTTCTTTGAAGTGAAATAAAATAAAATACATAGACAATGAGTACTGGTAATCCCTGTGTTACTCTTATTTTTACAGAGCAGAACTAACTCCCCTTGCCTTTTATAATTGGGATTTTTAGGGTGTTTCCAGAAACTAGAAATTTGTTGATCAGTGAAGGCCCTTAGGAAAGGTCAGCCAATAACTAAAAATATCTGATTCGCATTAAATGCTAAGAAAAGCTATTTAGAGCAAGCAAACACTTCCAAATAACAAACAAAGGATTTGATCTTGTGAGAAGGAGAATTTAAAAATGCTCTCTGAAAGCTTCTGCTCTGAAAAATCTCCTTAGGGATATCACATACTGCCCCTGAAGGCTGGATACTGAATATTAAAAGTAATAAAAGAAGCAATGTGCAGACCCACAATTAATAACTTTTATTAATAAAGTGAATGCATTTAGTAACAGTTTGGGAGCCACTAAATTTGAGAACTGGCTGTATCATTTGAAATGTCCTTTCAGAGAGGACCAGCTTTCTAAATACCAAGATTTTAAAATATGTACATATTTTAACAGATTTGCTTCCAGCTGTGGATGGATTTGTAAAGAACCAACTGAAAATATATGAGTCTGCAGACATTAGTAACTTTACCTGGATATCAGGTGACCCCTCACCCCCATCCAAACCCTCATTTTTTGTTTCGCTCAGAAACAGGAGAGGTACAGAGAGATAGAGAGGTGCATATTTTGGGTGTAAGTTTCGTATTCAAAACCAGGGTTGTAGAACACTGTAGAATTCTCCCTGCAGCACAGCTTCCCAACAGAGACTTAATTCCACGTTGCAGCCACGTACTGCAAGTTCTGGGCCTCATTGTACTGAATTCTTGGAGTCACTGCAGAAATTCCTGCCTTGCACTAGGACAAGTTCCTGCCTCTCACTGTCTCAGCTGCCTGTGTGAAGCAGTTGCTGCTGCCACATCAACTTATCCATTTCTTCCACATATGTGTACTAAATACCATCATTTTTTCCACTTGTTTTTGGGCAGCAGAGGGAATATCAACATATATTCCAGTAAGGAGTGTGTTTGCTCTGGGTACTGAAAGGAGATGATAAAACCAAGCCCTTTTAATGAGCCTTATGAGATTGTTGGTACATGGGGTCTGCTGTAAATCTATAAAGATTTGGGAAATAAAGTTATCTGCGTAAAAAACCCACCACATGTTTTTCTTAGGAACCAAAACTTCGAATTTTGCCTGTCCGTTCCTTTTGGAACGGCCATCTTGGTGTGTTGCTCTTAAAAGGTGCTCACCTCTGTGCTGTGGAGCAGATGTGGGATGTGGAATATCCATGTTAAAATCCCAAACTTTGTTTGGATGTTCCTCAGGAGAGCGATATGCCAATCCAGGAGCTGCTCAGCCGCTACGGCTACGACGGCACCATCCCACTGCAGGAGGAGGAGGAGGATGAAGAGGAGGAGGAGGATGAGGAGGAGGGAGAAGATGATGACGATGTTGATAACGATGACAACAGTGGCTGTAGCGGGGAAAACAAGGTAAGTGTCTATCCTCTTTTGCATATACATGATTTGTTTACTGCTCAACCACTCAAGGTCCCAGGTCTTGGCAGAATAATCTGTAATAAATTTGGTTTCAGATGCTTTGTGTACTGAACTCTTAAGGTTTATTCTTAATTACCCATCTGTGTTTCTCTTTAATTGCTCTTAATTCCATCTCTATCATCCCAAAATGTTACTGAGGCAAATTAAAATACATGAATACCTATAACATTGTGTAAGAAAGGATTGTAATTGCACTTCAAAACTGACATTTTAAATGCCTGCAGACACCTTAATAGATGTGGCTGAATACTTGTTTCAAGGTGAAAAGCTGATTACTGAAACTCCTCAGTGTGGAATTGAATTAAATGTGGCTCTGAGTATTGGAGATCCTGCAAATTTTGCAGCTTGAGCATTTAAAGTTGTATTTTTCAGCCTGGCAGCCCTGGTTGTACTTAAATAAACTGAACCTAATGCTTCTAGTACCTTTGCAAAATGTTTAGTTTTGAGCTTAGCATCTTTAAAATCCTGTTCTGTGTGCTCTTAAAGGAATTTTCTGATTTTAGAAGGGTGTTTTCTACTTGAAATGTCCTATATATTTGTAACAATCCTGTCACTGGCACAGCTGTAACTTCTCCATTACTGCTGCATCCCGAATTCCATTAAAATACAAATTCGTTTGAATTGTCCGTAAATACAAAAGCTCAGGCATTAGTGAAAGTTGCATTACCTAATCTGGCTTTAAAAAGGATGCATTTTGCTTTTTTGATACCCATTTTAGAATCTCTGGAATGTGACAGAGAGATGAGGAATGATCCAGCTGATTCAGAAAGTGAAGTTCTTGGGATTTACAAGCTCCCTTGACAAATGCTGTAAAAGATTGTTATTTGTGTGAGTTGAATAGTTCAGAAGGAAGATCCGTAGTTAGATTACATAGGGAAAGGTTTAGGAAGCAGGAGAGGGGGAAAAACTTATGTAACATGAAGGGTGCAGGAAGAATTTTGGGAAGAGTTCTTTGAGGAAGCATTTCTTCCTGGAAAGGGTGTTCAGGCATTGGAAGGGGCTGCCCAGGGAGGTGGTGGAGTCCCCATCCCTGGAGGTGTCCAAGGAACAACTGGATGTGCACTCAGTGCTCTGGGCTGGAACACAAGGTGGGGATCGGTCACTGGTTGGACTCTGATCTTGGAGGGCTTTTCCAACCTCACAGATTCTGTGCTCAATCAAAATAAGACACTCAAGTGTTTATTTTGTTGTGCATGGGAAAGTCTCACTTGCTCCTTGTGCCTGTCCTTCTTAATTCCTTCCTGACACAACTTCTGTGCTCTCCAGTAGCTGATTTAAGACCCTGCCTGTCTTTTCACGGGATGATGTGTCCACGTGTCCCTGCTGTGAGGAGCCACCTTGTCCCTCTGCAGGGCTCAGACCCTCGGTAGGACGATGCAGAGCCGGCGCCTTCCTCCCATCAGCACCCACAGCTCAGGCTCTGCCCAGTGTCCACCACCAGTTGAGCCTAATCCCAGTTTGGCAGCTGGGAGCAGATGTTCACCAGTCCCAGCCCAGTTTGGATCAGGCTGCAGTCAGGGTGGTGGGGAGTGAGCACAGAGCTGCCTCACCTGGGGATACGGGATGGGAGCTCTGAGGTGCTGCAGGCTCTGGAGCGGAGAGGCAGAAAATACAGCTGTGGGGGTGGAATAATTGTATAAATCATTCAAGCTTTCTCTGCAAGTGCTCATCTTTGTACAGCCTATTTAGCTCTCCTGCACTTAGCTGGGTTCTATTTTTAATCTGCTTTAAGCTGCACATGTGACAATACTCTGGTTGCTGGTAAAGGTGCACATCAATGTGTGCTGGGCCTGATGCTTCTGGGTCAGAAGTAGCAATAAAATACAGAAAAGATACAAACAACATGCATTGAAATAGAAAGCATGGATTATTTTTTTTTTTAATATATTTATAATTTAAAATTTCTCTGATTGTAATAATTCCCATTGTTGTTGTGGTTTTTCTTCTAATAAAGAAACTTGTCCTAATTTTTGATCTTGACTTGAGTCTGCTGATGTGCTGTTCCTGTGGGGTCGAACCACTCTACTGACATTAATTTTTATGGAAGGTACCATTTCCATGTAAATAATCCCTCCCCTTTTTACTGAAAATTCATAGGAGAGGGTTTTGAAGAAAAAATTAAAATTTAAAATCAAATGAAATTAAATGAAAACCAGAAGGATTTGCTTGACTGATTAAAAAAACCTAAAGATTAAGATTGAATTGAGGTTTATATTTGTGATTTCTATGGTAGAGTCTTAGTGGTTTATTGATCTGCTTAAAATGCTGGTCAAAAAATAACCTGATGATGTGTTTACACATTTGTAGTGGCTCAGCCTGGGCAGGCCACAATCCATCCAGTCACTTCACGTCAGATAAAAGCTACTTGGATTTGATATATTAATAATCCTGGAAAAAAATCTTGCTAAAATAGTGTTTGCCACATACAAAGGAGTAACTGATCTGCTCTTTGGGGTTTTTTGTGTGCAAGGAGGAGGCCATAAAAGATTCATCAGGGCAGGAAGACGAGACACAGTCATCGAACGACGACCCAGCACCATCTGTTGCATCTCAAGATCCCCAGGAGATAATTCGCCCTCGCCGGTGTAAATATTTTGATACAAGTATGTCCAGTTTAATGCTCAGCACAGCAATCTCACTGTGATTGACCTGATTCCTAAAAACATTGTTTTTTCTCTTTTGTTCTGCTCTTGGTGTTAGCATCACACTCAAAAATAGCATAACAAACTCCTGGGTTTAGCTGAATGCTAACTCTGCTCTGCTAACTCTCTATAAGGCCAGGAAATAGTTTTTTCTTAAAAGAAAGCGTGAAATTTGTGGGGAAATTTAAATTTTACAGTTTTAAAAAGCAGGCTCTCAGTCCAGTTTATCCTGCAAATTGGTTTGTAAGGATGTGCCTTCAGAAAAATTACCTTGCCCACGAGTCTGGGTGCAGTGAGTGACTATTTAGTATGGAATTACTTTGCCATTGTGGTGTCAGCTGGCAGTTCACATTAGGGATGGAGGTAAAAATATTTGCAAAAATATTTACAAGCAGGAAATGCTCTGTTCAAGCCAGATAATTGCTGTGCAGCAAATGGTTATCATGCCAAGGCTGGGTTTTGTCCTTATCCAGATGAACTGAGAGTCCAACTGAAGGAAAAAGTAAAAACTGAAATTTCCTACAAATAGAACCCAGATTTCTTCAAGCAGTAAAATCTGGAAAAGGCCAAGAACGATTAACCCTGAAATGATGAAAAGGGAGGTCACAATGGCGAAAATTTGCTTCAAGAATTCCACAGTTGTTACTGTTGTCAGCATTGAATTGATCATTTTCTCTCTTGTTTTGGTTAAAAATTGGCTTTGCATCCCTTTGAGACTGTTGGCTGTTGTAGCTGTCCCTTCCATGGAATCTTTCCTGATGGGACCTGAGCCTTTAGAGCTGGCAGCGGGGCCATGGGGACAGCAGATATTTTACCTTTCTTTAATGAAAGTGACTGTTGAATTCCTATTGCTCTGTGGTTTAACAACACAAATTTCCTTACCATACCTCATTCTTGATACTTACTAGTCATGACCTTGTAAAAATGCAATTTTCTAATCTGTACTTTATTTTAATCCAAAATGACCAAGGGATCTCAGTAGCTGTGCAGAGGATTGCAAATATCTTAAATAAATTCCCATTTTTAAGCATAGCAACTGTATTACATTAGGTTTGGGGGTTTTTACAGTGTTCAGCTGTGTATAAAATGTCATTTAATGTATAAATAATTTTAGTACTGCTATATCACATCCTATGCATAAACCAGTATGTTGGGAAAGGCAACTGGGCTATATCATAAAGAGCTTAACGTTTCTGGCAATCCTTATCCCAAATAATCTATTTTAAGTGCTTCTGTGCCTCACTGAGCTGTACATCCAAGGCTCCTAAATCCCAAGAAGACACACTTAGAGATTTCTCACACCTTGTGCTGAGATGTCCCTTAAATTCAGTGCCAGTGGAAAAAGAACAGCAGGAACTAAGCCAGGAGCTCATGGAAAAGGGTGTTGAAACCCACATGTGGGTGCTGAACATCCACAAAAAATACTTCCAGAAACTTAAGAGTGAATTTGGATGTGGATCACTCAGAGCTGGGTGAGGGAAAGGAAATTTTAATTTTGTAGCAAAATTTATTTGTGCTTTAAGTTCTCAGAGCCTGTTGTGTATCTTAACCCAAATGTGGGTGGGTCAGTTTTTAATCTTGTCGATACTGAAATATTTATGTTGACCCTAAAAGTGCTGTTAGCAGTGGTGTGGGCTGAGATAAGGGGGAGGAAGGGAGGAGAGCAGGGCTGGAGCCTGGTGGGGTGACAGGCTGGGCTCCTGTCCCCTGCCACCCTTGCTGTTTTGGGCTAAATGTTTCAACAATTTCTTGTAGATAGTGAAATAGAGGAGGAATCTGAAGAAGATGAAGATTATATTCCTTCAGAAGACTGGAAAAAGGTAAATACTAAGCCTGTATTTCATGAATAATAACTTGATCTGTTACCTAGTAACTCTGAGCTCTGTAGAGCATCCAAGTCCTTTCCAGTTTTTCCTCATAAATAGAGTTTTGATAATGAGAAATGTTAAAGACCTTCCCAAATAGTCAAAAATCCATTTCCATATAGTGCCTGTTAACTCTGGGTTTGGATTTTGAACCTGTTAACTGTAAACTGTATGTTTAGATTTTAAACAAGTCTAAAGTTTAAAGCAGGGGTGGGGAAAGGGATGTTGTCATCCTTGTGTTTGCTAACAAAAAACAGCAGGGCTGTGGTTGCTTAACTTCTTGTTTCTGGTGTTTCAAAACAGGAAATCATGGTGGGGTCCATGTTTCAAGCTGAAATTCCAGCTGGCACCTGCAAATACAAAGAGAATGAAAAAGGTGAGATTTGGCACTGTGACCGTCATTGCTGTGTTTGTGATTATTGTCTAATGAGGAGAAATAAAAGGGTTGGTTGATGTCATGTGTCTTGTGAAATAAATGAGGTCCTTCAAGTGAAAACTATACTTCATCCTGTACTTGACCATCAGAGCTCGAGGCTGGGAAGGGGAAAAGAAGGATTCTCTTGCTGGCCTGGTGCCTCTTGAACCCTTGGATTGATGATGCAGACCAGCTTTAACATCTCATTTATTTACTTTATGTAAAACCTAATAGGTGATGGAGAAATTGTGTTGCTGGAATTGGATTAACACATTAAAAAAGGCAAAATGGTACCAGCAGCTTTGGCTTTCACCTTTTAAAGGTCTTCAATCAATAACAAAAAAGTTTTGGTTTTGTTTTTGGGGTTTTTCCCCTCCTCACAACCAGAGCTTTTGGTGTCCTATGTAGGGCCAAGAGTTGGACTCGATGGTCCCTGTGGGTCCTTTCCAGCTTAGGATATTCCATGATTCCATTGACTTCAAGCAGGGTCACACTCACGTTCTGGACTTTGTAGCCAGAGAGGTTGCACAGAGTGTAATTTATATAAGAAGTTGGGAGCTTCCATTAAAAACAGAAAGTGGCAAATTAGAAAAAATCTGCTTTTTAGCTGGGAAGAAGCTGCTCTTTGCAGGCTTTCCTGCTTCTGGATGGAAATAGAGCTGGAACTATGGAGGTGCAGTACATTATGCTTTACTGGCCACCTGCTTTTCCAGATATTTACTCAACTCTAAATGGCTTCTGGTCTCCAACAATAAAACAGAAATAGCTGCTCTGTGCATTGCAGTACCCAGTATAAACCAGGTTTTCATCATCTTGCTCATTGCTGTTTGCAGGGCAGAGAACCTGCTTCAGGGGCAGGGACTACTGAGGGAAAAATTAAATTGTCACTAGTGGTGATGTTACCCAGAGAAGCTGTGGCTGCCCCATCCCTGGAAGTGTCCAAGACCAGGTTGGATGGGACTTGGAGCAACCTGATCTAGTGGAAGGTGCCCCTGCCCATGGAGGACGTGGGACTGGATGGGCTTTAAGGTCCCTCCCAACCCAAACCATTCAAGGATTGTATTTCTATGAAGATTCCTCGATTTTTTTCCTTAAATAAGCAACCAAACATCAGATTAGTTCCAGCCCTTGAAACAAAAAGCTCCCAGAAAACTCTTGAGAGCTCTTCCCAAACTGTGTGTCATCAGTGAAATGAAGCTGCTTTCTTTGTGAGACAACAATTTTCCTTACCAGTTTGGGGGTTTTATTTGTATTTACTTTCCTGTAAAAATACTTTTCTTCAAGTAGAAATGTATCTATTAACCCTCTGGCCTTCCCCCCTGCAGGCAGTGCTGCTGTATCTTCCCTTCCTGTGCTGACCCTGCTTTCCCAAGGGCTCCCTCCTTCCTCTTGTCTGACAGAGCAAATGGAATGAGTGTTAAAATTCCTTCCTTGATGGTTTTTTTATGGTTGTTGAAGACCACAAACAAGATCTGGATACTTTCCTGGTTCTAGTTTTTTTTAAAGCCTGAATTGCACTTGATTTTGATGTACTATTTTAACCCAAAGCTTGCAGACTCTTCAGAGATCAAACTGGGAGATAATTCAGAGGGATATATCATTTGCCTGTGTTTTTCTCATTGATTTCAGATGGCTTTCCTGGTCTGAAATATCCTTTGAAAGGTCTGGAAAAAGTGGAGATTTGGTAGTATTAAAATTCTGGAGTTTCATAATGGATCCTGGGATCTAGAGAACAGGTTATGCCAGAGATCCGAAGGCAGTTTAAAGTATAACATCCAAATCTCACTCTTTTAGCTGTCCCTCTGTGTGTTCAGGATTAACGTCAGTGCTCCAGTGACCTCCCAGGGTTTCAGAACCGCTTTATCAGAGAGAATAAATGTCTCTGTCATTGTTTTTTCTTGCTTGTGTTCATTCAGTGTATGAAAATGATGACCAGCTCCTCTGGAATCCTGACTTCCTACCAGAAGATAAAGTGATCGAGTTCCTAAATGAGGCCTCAAGGCGGACGGGTGAGGAGAAAGGCCTGGATGCAATTCCTGAGGGATCACATATTAAAGACAATGAGCAGGTATAGAAAAATAAGTAGGAGTTGTCGCTTAATGTTGGAAAATTAATCATCCCTTTGTTTTATTTTACTCCCAAGAATTAAAATTGTGTTTGTAACAGTTTTATTTATTTTACTCCCAAGAATTAAATTGTGTTTGAGACAGTTTTATTATTCCTTGTGGAAATAGAAATATGATGGATTTTTTACCGAATATTAAACTGTTAACTTTGCTGTATATAAAATAAAATGCACCAGTGCTTTATTTTATATATAAATGTGTATGAATTAATTCTTTCAGTTATAGAATTTTTAAAGCTGTATGAATGCACACTTATTTTTTATTTCTTACCCAGAAAAACACCACATCGATTTTACAAATGTATGTAGTGGATATAAATATTAAAACACTTTGCCTGGATATATTCTTGGTTATGTAATTAGAGCTTTGGAGATTTAAACACAGGAAATATGTCTGTGTGCTGACTTAAATTTCATTAAATTCATTCAGAGCATTTATTTTTAATCTTAATAGGTGTCAGTGATTTTTTAAGTATGCTGCTGTGGCACAGCATAAATTGGGTTGTCTCTGGAATGTTAAATGTGTGTGTTTTCATCACTCCAGGCATTGTATGAACTGGTTAAGTGCAATTTTGATACTGAGGAATCGTTACGAAGGCTGAGGTTCAATGTCAAAGCAGCCAGAGGTGAGCAGACACTGAAAGGGAAGGTTCTATTCCTGACTTTTCATCTTATTTGTTACACAGGTCTTGGGGTTTGCCCAGAGCTTAATTTAAATACAGCCCTCAGTGAATCTCTCATTGTTCTCTGAGAGAATGGAATTAGCAGATGTGTAAATTCACTTCCTGTCCATAGAGCTTGATATAAATATCTGTGACTTCAGCGGCAAATTAAAATCAAAAATTACTTCTTAGCAACTCAATTGTGCATTTCTTGGGCATTTTGTCTGTGTTCTTTTAGAGCACTTCAGTCATCAAAGTGAATACAACAAACATGAAATACAAAATAAAACAATTCAGAGTTATAAATAAAGGAGAAAGAGCATCTAAACCTTTTGTTTAACAAAGTATAACACTAAAACCTCCTGTTTTAAAAGGTGCTTTTGGAGCCTTGAGCATTTCCTATTCTATTATTGATTTTTGTGCTCAAAGGAACAAGAAACTAAGAGAAGACACGAGTTATTTTCCTACACATTGATCTGTTGGTTCTGCTTCCAAACCTCTCCTGAGTTCCCTGTGCAAATCACAAGACGGGAGTGATCACATAAAGAAGATTAGTTTGTTCTCCCACTATTTTAAACCTTATTTACTTGTGACCTTTGAAATCAATGAGACCAAATTATATTAAGTTTATAACAGTCCCTGCCAAGTAGCTCCTCCAAGATGTTTTCTGTCACTTCAGTTGTCTTTTATTGATTGGCTTTGTTGGTTAAGTATTTTCTTCATTGCTTTTTTTTTTTTTTTTCCTGTAGAAGAATTATCTGTTTGGACAGAAGAAGAATGTAGGAACTTTGAACAAGGGCTGAAAGTCTATGGCAAAGATTTTCACGTGATTCAGGCAAATAAGGTGAACACTGAGTTTAAGTGAAGTTCTCATTTTTTGTACTTTATAGCAACTGTAATTGTAAATAATTTCTTATCCTTAATTTTCTTCATAAATTACTATATTTACTTCTTTTCTTTTTTTACTATGGAATCACAGAATCCTGGGCTTATTTGGTTTGGGAGGGACTTAAAACCCATCCAGTTCCATCCCTTGCCATGGACAGGGACACCTTCCACTAGACCACGTTGCTCCAGCCTGGCCTTGGCTGGGATGGTACATCCATGGAATAATCTGTGCCAGGGTCTCACCACCCTCACAGGGAAGGATTTCTCCCTGTATTTATGCTCAAATTGTTTTCTCAGAGTCCAGAATTCTCTGTGACTGTGGCTGTGAACCCAAAGTGCAGAAATCCTGCAAAAGTCCTCTGAGAAGAGCTGCCTCCTCTGAAGAGACTGTGAGGCACTCTTGGAATATCCCCCCTGGAGCTGTTGTTCCTTGCAGCATCTCTCAATATCTCCAGTATTTTTAGAAGCACTATTGACTCTACATCTCAATTCTGGGCCTCTGAAATTTGGAGCCAGGAGTTTCCGTTGTCCAAAGCAACACTGATTTGGAATTTCACACCTTTTGATTTAAATGCTGGGGGTGGGGTTTGGCAGAAAAATGCTTTTAAATTGTTGCAAACTTGCCTGACATTGTTTCTTAGGTCCGGACACGCTCCGTGGGGGAATGTGTAGCATTTTATTACATGTGGAAGAAGTCGGAGCGTTACGATTTCTTTGCCCAGCAAACCCGCTTCGGAAAGAAGAAATACAACCTGCACCCTGGTGTCACGTAAGATGGGCATCATTTCATGTGTCTTGGGTCTAAATCTTTATTTTATTCTGCTCAGAGCTGAAATGGAATGAAAACCAAGGGATTCCAGAGTCCCAGTTTGCAGCAGGAAAACGGCCAAGGTGTCAGAAAATTGCACTAGTTTGTATAATGTGATGTCTTAAATAAATTTATTTGGAATAAGGGCAACAATTTGCATTGAGCAGCTGTTGAATTTAGTTTGTTTTCCTTCTAAATTTCTGCACATTTCTGCAAATAGGAGTGGTTTTAATACTTGCTTTACTTTAAATATGTTTTATAAATGTTTTATACGACTGCATCAGTCACATGTTTCAGGTGGGATTTGTAGTACATTGGCAAGAATTCTGGCCAGCACAACATCCTGCCCCAGGGCTTTTTTGGGTGCCCATGGCTCCTTTTCCCCTTTCACATCCCTGCTGGGAAAGGAGGGAATGTCAGAGCAGAACTGCACCCCTCCAGCTCTGAGCCAGCATGTTCTCCTGCCCCTCATTCCAATGCTCTGATTTTATATCCCACTCTTTCCGCTGATTCTTGCCAAGCCTTTTTACTATTATTTTCATTTCTCATTTGTTCCTGGCTTCTCTGTTGATCCTTCTTTGGAATATTATTGTTTCTCCAAACATTTTAGAGCTGTGTGTTGGACCACTGCAGTGAACTCGCAGGGTGACAGTCAGAGTTGCCATCTGTGGCTTTGGAGAGTGTTAGAGAGTTTCTTAACTGCTTGTCAGGGACTGTCTGTCTCCCCTTCTTCTTCCATCTGTTGATGGGGGTTTTTTCCCCTTTTTCCCCAAATTAGTAGACATTTTTGGTGGTTAATCACTCAAAACACTTTCTTTTTCCAGTTGGCTACATATGGGGATCAGCAGCAGTGGCATTAAGGATTGTACTTGTCTGTTCTTGAATGATTTTGCAGATAAATGTGGGAATTCAGGGTGCAGTGTCAATTCCAGAAGAATTATGTGTGAGGATATGCTGTTCTTGGACTTAATCCAGACTTAACACCATTGGTACAAGGGCTTTACCAACCAGCTTTCTTTGTTTAAATCTTTCGTAGGAGATTTGCCATTAGTGACCTAAACTGGAGGACTGGAATAGATGGCAGATATGGGAATGTCCTTAACTCTGGAGTTTTTCATTTGCTTTTAACTTTACCCCTTTGGGCTTTTTTTGTGCACAAATGTTATTTACTTTAACTTGGTTTGTTACTGCTTGATGCACCAAATTGCAAGAGCTTAGTGCAAACCTGCCTGAAAGCATCACCTTGAAATCACAGCCCACAGCACAGAGCACATGGAATCAGAGAACGGTTTGGAATGGGAGGGACATGAAAGCTCATCCAGTTCCACCCCCTACCATGGGCAGGGACACCTTCCACTAGACCAGGTTGTTCCAACCTGATCTTGAATACTTCCAGGGATAGGGCAGCCACAGCTTCTCTGGGCAACCTGTGCCAGGCCCTCACCACCCACACAGGGAAGAGTTTTTTCCCAACATTCAAACTAAACCTGCTCTCTGTCAGTTCAAAGCCTTTCCCACATAGAATGTGAATTGGCCACACTTGCAGTGTGTATAGTGAGTATTTTTTCACCAATAACACCAACACTTCCCTCAGCCAGGGCTGAATGAGCTGTGTCTGTTGTCTAGAGATTACATGGACCGGCTCCTGGATGAGAGTGAAAGTGCTGCTTCCAGCAGAGCTCCGTCCCCTCCTCCCACAACCTCCAACAGCAGCACCAGCCAGTCGGAGAGGGAGGACAGCACGACCAGCAGCAGCAACCAGAATGGTGAGTGTGTGCCCTGTGCCCCCTGAAGAGCTGCCACATCCTCACAGAATCCCAGAATGGTTTGGGTTGGGAGGGACCTTAAAGCTCATCCCGTTGTACCCCCTGCCATGGGCAGGGACCCCTTCCACTAGCCCAGGTTGCTCCAAGCCCCATCCAACCTGGCCTTGGACACTTCCAGGGATGGGGCAGCCACAGCTTCTCTGGGCAACCTGTGCTGCCCCTCATCACCTTTCCAGGGAAGGGTTTCTTCCCAATATCCCACTAACCCTGCCCTCTGGCAGTGGGAAGCCATTCCCCCTTGTTTTGTCCCTCCATCCCTTTCCCAGAGTCCCTCTCCAGCTCTCTTGAAGCCCCTTTAGGCACTGGAAGGGGCTCCAAGGTCTCCCTGGAGCCTTCTCTTCCCCAGGTGAACAGCCTGCTTAAATTTTAACTATTTTCCAAGGTGTGAGCAGCTCTCAAGTAAAACTGGTTTTTAAAACAAGATACCTGTTTGCTTTTAGACTTTGGTCATGTATGGAAGATAAATCTCCACTGGAATTTCCTTTTAACTGGAATTTATGTGTTCTTGTTTCCCCTGTGCTGGTGTAAAGGTGTAATGCTAATGCAGTGAGGAGTCCTGTGCAGGATATTTAAACATCTGGGGTGGGAACTGGGCTGTGGTGGAGCACACTGGTGCTCCTCAGGGACACTGGGAGCTACTGCTCCCAGCCATGGGCATGGAAGGGAGTTGGGAATGGGAAAGGAGCCAGGGCACTCTCCCTGTGAAGGAAGAAAATCCCAAAAAGTGAGGAGAGCTGTGCTGAAGGAGCAAGAGAAGGGAGGAGCTGGGGACTGAATCAGCCTGTGGAAATCAAGTGCAAACTCCAGAAACTGCCTGGGTGAGGAGAGTCCACCTGTAGCTTGTGGAGTTCTAGGATTCCAGGACATTTTCTGTTGCTTTTAAGGGCTTCCATAAACTCCATCATAGTAAGTCTGTCATTTGTGTGCACATAAATCACTAGTTCAGTGAGGAGGAATAGAACAATCCTGGCTTTTGAGTTCAGTGGGACTAATTAAGATGGTCTGACCTGTCACAGGCTGTTCTGTTCCTCCTGATGCTCCTGTGCCTTTCTGATTCTGTCTCTCCCTCACACAGGTGTCTCTGCCAACGGCCCAGGGGAGGCACCAAGCAAAGAGGAAGCAAAACTCGAGGGATTGCACGTAAATGGACCTTCCAGTGGCAAGAAAACACCTCACACAGAGCTGGATACAAATGGGTATGAACCTGAAAACCTTGCCATTGACCCCAAAATGGCTCATGCAGCCTCAAGAAACGACAATGATTTGGAAGAGAAAAGTGAAAGACCTCTAAAAAGAAGAAGAATTAACAGCAGTGGGAAGGAGAGTCCAGGGGCTTCAGAGTTCTTCCAGGAAGCAAACTCTCATGGGAAGCTTGAAGAACTGGAAACTTTGGATGACTGAGTGCTAGGAGCTGGTTTTATTCCTTGGAGTAAATTTTGGGTGTCTGAAATTTTCAGGGTTGATGGGTTACCTTACAAAATCCAGTTCCACAAACAATCTGCTGAGATTTTTTTTGTTTTGTTTTGTTTTCCTGATACCGTTTAGTTGGCTCTAAAAATCTGATTATTTGGTTTTTTTCAGTGCTGAAAAGCAGCAGGAGAATAGTGAATTTCTCAGAGCTGGCAGCTGCAGTTCTGGGCTAAGAGGCTCTTAAATATTTGAGGAACAAATCAGTGAGTTTCTGCAAAAATACTCCCAGCCTAATACATTAAAGAATGTGTTAATACACCTTTTAATGTATAAATACACCTTTTAATCATTGGCAAAGTAAACAGAGCATCCTATTTGCAGCAGGGGCTGGTGCAGATGTTGCAGGAAGTTAAAATAAAACAGAGAAGGCCAAGACAGAGTAGACAGAGACTTCCACTCCTGCTGGTGAGAGGAAAATGTCATCCCATCACTAAGGAACCCTCATGAATCCTGAAAGTTATGAGCACAACTATTTTTATATATAGAAGTTTTAAAAGGTAAATAAATAAACCAAGTCAGGTTTGTCTATGTAAAATTGTTGACATCAATGATGTCTTTCCATATTCTTTATCTGGGCTAAAGAAATACATTCTGTATTTTTCCAGATTTCTTTGTAGCCTTTGAAAGATTTTTACAGTACTTATGTCTTGATTGAACTGTCCTTTCTTAAAACAAAAGCTTGTATAATTTTCTTACCTTGTACAGTTGGTAAACTTTTATGAGAGAGTTGATACCCTGAGTCTAATGTCAGCTTCCTTTTATTTTGCTGAAGTCTTTTCTAAAAAAAAAAGCCAACAAAAAAAAAACCAAACCAAACCAATTGACTTAAAAATCAATCACCAACGTGTTATTTTCTTCCCAGAAACTGGTAAATAATTAACATAAGAATGGTTAGGAATCATTTGATTTTGGAAACGTGTTTTATTTCTTCTGTTTTATGGCAAATAGTGATGCTAAAAAATTTGTTACTCATGCTGCTTGCACTGCACACATTTCCTTGCTTTATTTTCTCACTTTATTTTGAACTTAGATAATTTTCACAGCAGCCAAATGCTTGAGTTTACTAAACCTTCTTCACCCAGTTCAGGTGTTAGTGATCCACTGATACATTTTTCAGTCTGTGTCTCACCTGCCACATTTCACAGAGCACAGGAAGGATCCAGTCTGGCTGTACTGGGTAGGAATGGATGTGCAGCTGGAATCTGGTGCTGGACTGGAATTTCTGAAGACCATAGGGGTGGTTTCAGTGGAAGCAGGGACAGCACATTACAGACATTGGCACCCAGGGACACCTGGGAGAAGGGAGAGGAGGAATGGATAACTAATTAAAGATTAAAGTATGGGGAACTATTTAAAAATAAAGTGTGAGAAACAAAAATTCCTAATAAATAAGTGTGGAGGGGGTCATGTTCACCCTCCCACCAGCACAGTTTGAAAGTTTTGGAAATAGGATTTACGATCCATTTTTAATCCAAATTAATTTTGGTTTTGTTTAGTTTTATTTTTAAGCCACTTTTTTTTGTTTTATTTAAGCTATACTTCTACTCTGTTAAAATTAGAGAAATGGTTCATTTGTATAATTTACAGCCCCATGTTCTCCTCATTACAGATGTGCTGTTAATTCTTACTTGGTTATTTTAATTTAAGGTTCATAAGTCTTTCTGATTCCGGTTTAAATGAATGGTCCTGTGGTTTGAAATTCATGTATGCACCCTAAGCCTACCTGCTGAGGGATTGGGTTGGGTTGTTTTCTCCTCCAGTGACCTGTACTTGGACTTTATGATCATTCATGAGCCAGATCTGGCCTGGATGGGTTACGGATGTAGGAACCTATTCCCAGAATGTGGGGAATGATCCACATTTGGATCATCGGATTAATGCTCTACCTGGTTTAGGTGATACCTGCCAGGAATCAGCCAGCCCTGTACCTGGAGACACTCTGGGTGAGGTTTGTTAATTAAAACCTGTGTTAATTATAGAATTAAGTGATTAATCCTGAGGCAGAGGTTGCTGTTAACTCTCCCCTCTGGATTAGTAACAGAAACCCAAAGTTTCAGCCTTAGATCAAAGACAGTCACGAGACGGTTCCAGACAACCAGAGCCCTATTTTCAGTTTTATTTTTATGCAGTTTTTGTTTGTTTGCAAGTTGAAAATACTTCCAAAAATTTATAGGAAAGTTTCTAAGTGAATTGTCTCAGGCCTGTGTGTGAAATCCAGCACTGTGTATATTTTCAGGAATGTTGCTTTGTTTTTTATCTTACCTTTTTTTGGTGATATGTAGAAGAGACCTGACATTCCATAATCAACTATGTAATGCTCAGCTAGACTTTAAGAATATTTAATTATTATTTACCTTTTGTTTATGCTGGTGTTTTATACAATACTTTGTTCATGTTTCAAGCTGCAGCCACTATAACTCGGTAAGTCATTGCACTACTAAAGCTATTTAAAATCCTGGAAATCTGGTAACTTTGGTTTCATTTTCAAAGCCTTCAGTACAGTTTGGAATCCAGTTCAGAGGAAATCCTTGGTGGGCTTCCCAAAAGGTTAAATGTGAATAAAAATCCAACCACACACACACACACAAAACTTACAGATCAGTTGTATCCATTTTTCCGCAGAGTATTTTGCACTGTTAGTAATTCCCTTGTCTTATCCCCACTCCCTCTCTGCAAAAAGCTTATTAAAATATTTTTAAATGTACTGTCTGCATATAAAATTCCTGAGTTCTTTTGCTGGAGCTTTCCTGCTCAGAGGATGTGAAGCCCCAGCCTGTTGCAGCAGCAACTCTTACTGCTGCAGTGAAACACTTGGAAACAAAATACCCTTTGGGGTTCAACTTTGAACTGTTTCCTTCATTCCCTCAAAACAGGGTTGTGCTCCCACATCCCTCTCCCCTTCCCAAAGAATATTTAAAGCTGGAAAACGCAGAAGATCCCTCAACCCTGACTTCCTCTACAGGGCAGAGCCCCCCTGCACCCGTTTTATTCACCCCCAGCCATCCCCATCCTCTCCAGCCCTTTCTTGCTGTTCCAGGGAAGTGAGGGATGAGGCAGGAGCACGCAGGGCATGTTTGGTTCATTGGTTTATTCAAAGCAAATACAAAAATACAGAGGCACATAAAATCTTTTCTGCTCTCATTACTGACATCCGAAGCCTGCCATACATTCAAATCAAAAGGTTGCCCTTTTCATCACTAAAACGCTCATTTTGTAAATAGATTCTATATAGAAAACATTTTTTTAGTCAATATCATAGAAAATACTGTTAGAGGAGCTCTTGGCTTTCCCAGTGTTTAGGATCCCATCCCAACCCCAGCACACACAAAATAACCTTTAAAAATACTTTACCATTAGGACACCAAATCTAACCAGTAGATTCAAAAATAAACATTAGAACCGCTTTGACAGAATCAACATCCTGACTGTGGACACAGCAGAGTCAGAGCACATGTGGAAAACAGGGATTTGGGAATGTTGCAGCAAGTGAGAGGAAGATCCAGCAGCCCCAGCACCACTTGGCTACTGGGAGCCAGCACAGCACCAGTAACCCCACCTTGGGGGAGTCTGAGCAGCTCTGGGGCTTCTGCACAGCAGGAATTGTTTATCACCTTCCCTCCCCTGGCAGCAAAGCCGAGGATTTACCAGAATTTGGGAAGAGACACAAATAATTGGCGGGGGGGGGGTGTTGGGAGAGGGGGGTGTGGTTTTTGTGTTTGGTTTTGTTTTTTTTTTAATCTCCAATTCTGTGCTTTGAGGGAGAACCTGCTGAGGGGCTGCCCTGGGACACCCTGACTCAGCCCTCAGTGACCACACCAATCCCCAAAAAAAGGGAAGTTCCTGGTTCTGGAAGAGCTCCAGGAGGAGGATGCTGCTGGCAGACTCAACTTCACACCTTTACCAGCACCTCAGGCTGTTGCAGCATCATCCCAGAAAGTCTCTTTCATATCTAAAAACTTCCAGTAAACTCCAACAAATGCAGCTTTGCCAAACAGCAGTCACAGTTTTACCAAATATCTCCCAAAAAACCAAATGTCAATTTCTAGAGCAGCTGTTTGCCTGGATACAAAAACCTCTAAATACATTGTTTTACCAAAATTTTTTTACCCAAACTTAGAAACAATTCTTTTAAATCAAAAGACAATACAAGGAGACCTAGAAAGAAGTGCTGTGCAAAAGAACCTTTAAAAATCAGCAAACACTGCCCAACTTATTAAAAATCCCATTCTTTTAATGGGTCACAGACCCAGAATGACATTCCATTAAAAACACAAATTGTGGGATAGGGCTTGGCCCCCCTTCACTTGCCAAAACAAGGTGATTTGAGTCCCTGTGCCTCTTCCAGGTGTGTGCAGGTGGGTGGGATGGGGATTCCAGGGGCAGGAGCAGCAGCAGCAGCAGCTTTTGCTTGGCAAATTTCCTGGACCGTGCTCTGTGTGCCAGGTGGGATGAACTCCTGTGAATCCTGCAGCTTTTCCCTGTTGGATTCAAACTGCCCTGTGAGATCAGCAGCTTTCCCAAATCCAAAGGTTTCTGCCCCCAGGGTAGTTGGAGGGAGGCTGCCTGCTCTGCCAAGCTTACCAGTGGCAGGTAAAACCTTCCTGTTGGGAATATCCCTGAGCCTTGAAAAGCAGGAGAGAGAGGGGTGAATGTTTGCAGGGCTCTAATAAACCAAGAGGGCAAACCCAGCTTTAGAAGTGGGTTAATGAAAAGAAAAACAAACCAACAGAAAAAACCTAAAATTTCAGTTCAGAGAGCACTGAACATTCATCCAAGAGATTTTAGCCCAAACCAGGAGCATCCTGCATCCTCCAGGGGAACACCTTTCACGGTCAAGTTCCCTCGGAGCCAGGTTCCCACAGTCTCACCTTCCTGCAGTAGCCAGAGGGACCAGGCTGGGGGCACAGAGCAGAGCCAGAGGCAGCCCCAGCATCCCAATCCAGGCTGAGATGAGCAGATCCATGGAGCAGATCCAGCCAAGGATCCCTCGACACTTCCTCTTCTACTTGGCCCCGCCTGCTGCTCGTGCCAATCTGAGCTGCCAGATCTCAGCTTGATTAGAAACCTGTTAATTCCTCATGATCAGACTTAATTAGATTCATTCCTCCCCGTGCAGGCAGTTCCCTTCCCAAGGATTTGTAAAGGCAGCAATCGAGGCTGTGCAAATTAAGAGCATCACGGTGGCTCCTGGCAGGCACCCCGGATTCCTTCCCGCATTCTGCCCGGGATCAGCCGAACAGAAAGAGGTTGTTTCCAAAAAAAGCCTCTCCCTGGTCACACAGAGCTTTTTCCTTTAATATCCAGCTTGCTGCCAGCATCAGACTCCTTGCTCTTTTGCTCCTCAGTGAAAGTGATGTAGGAATACACCAGGCTTCCAGCAATACTGCAGAAAAGGGTTGGGAATGAGATACATGGATCAGCCACACAGCCCTGCCCACCAGCTGCCAAGGGAAAGCCAGAACCAGGGGACTGAGATCTGCTGAAAGCATTACTCTGCATGAAAACTCCCTGTTTTCCTCCTAAGCCCAGGTGTTTTGGGTAATTCCTGCCCAAACCCTTCCTAGCCTGGTCCCAAACCTAGTGCTGGATCTGTTCCACCCCCAAAGGGATCCTGCTGAAGAACAGGGAATGAACTTTCCCAATAGGAACACACCCAGAGCAGAAAGGAGACTTTTAAAAAAGCTATATAATAAAAAATCCTGGGTGAAAATATAAACAAAAAAAAAAAAAAAAACCAAAAACTTTTTTGACGTCTTAATTCCCTGACTCTGGTTGGCAACTCTGAGAAAACTCAAGTTTGCTGCTAAAATACTCCTGTGAGTCCTCCTGGCTTTAAAACAAGCTGAGCCTGGGAGTTCCCCACAAATACCACTTCCATGCCTTTTTTTTTTTTTTTTTGAAGAAAACACAACCATTGAATCAGTCAAACCATTTCAGTTTCATCCCAATTTCCACTGACAAATCATAAATAAACAGCCAAGGCCTGATGCTCTTACCTGATATTTAGACCAATGAAGTTCATCCATGTAAAAATATAGTCTCCTCCAAAAAACATCCCAATATAGGTTATTAAAATATTCTGCAAAAGAACAAGATTTGAGGAACAAAAGCACAAGCCTGAGACAAGGGAATGCTCCACGCATTAAAGCAACATAGAAATGGGAAACACTTGGATGCAGAGTGTTGGATAGGGAGGAACGGGGGCTGCAGCAGCATAACACAATTCCCAAGGGACAATGAGTGAGGTGCTCACCTGACAATTCCCCTGGGATAAGGGAAAGCCACTCACCTTAATGCAGCCAACTATTGTAGTTGTAAGAGCAGAGTTATACTGAGTGCAAAGAACCGTGGAATACATCAAAATAAATCTGCGGAGGAAGATCCAACATCATCCCATCAATGTGGGCACGGGCTTGGAACAAGGTGAGCCTTAAAGTCCCTCCCAACCCAAACCATCCCAGGATTCCATGATCCCTTCCCCTCCTTTCTCCAGCAGTATTTATAGCATCCCTTTTTTGGCTAAACCTGCATTGAAGGAGGGTAGGAGATAATTCCCACCTGCCACAGCTCTCAGAAATAGTGTCCTTATCAGGACTGAAGGTTTATTATTAAATTTTAATAGTAACAGGGCACCAAAATTCCCTACTTCTGGAACAGAGATGCCTGCCCTGCTCCCACCCCAGCACCCAGGTCCTTACCCCATCACACACGACAGCATGAACTGCACGAGGAAGAATGTGTCTGCCCAGCCCTGGTATTCCATTGCCTGCAGGAAACACCAGCCCTTAGAGGAGGAAGCACAGGAATTCCAAGCAAGACAAGGAACAGTCCCCCAGCCTTGGCTTTCATGTCACAGCACGAAAAACCAACCCAAATAGGAGCCCAGTGTGACATCCTGGGCTGGGGAAGGCCAGGTGTCCACACCAGCATCACCTCCAGCTGCAGCACCCAGCTCATCCCTCCTGGAAAAAGCAGGGAGTAACAGTGCCGCAAGCCAGGGGAACCAGGAGAGACATTTCCCTGCTGGTTATCATCCAGAATTGGACAATTTTGGAATTCATTCACTGTAAACCATGGAGGTGCCAGAGTCTCCAATCCTGGAGATACCCAGAACCCAGCTGGAGTCCTCACCTGCTCCAGGGGGACCAGAAGAGCTCCAGAGGTCCCTGCCAGCCTCAACCAGGAGGCAAGGCAGAGCAGGGTGAGAACTGGCTCCCCCACTCCCTTCCCAGGAGGGAAGGCTGGACAGGGCTGCCAAGCACCCGGGGATCCTGCCAGGCAGCTGGGAAAGCACTTCCCACCAGAGACACAAATTGCCAGCCTGGGAGGGACCTTCCTGCAGGTCATCCATCCCTGTCACCCCAGGAATTACTTGCAGGGCGTTGCTCACCACCATCAGCACACCCATTTCTCTTCTCACAAATCATCGTTACCTTGGATGCTGCTGAATGAATACAAGACTTCCCAGATCCACAGGCATGAGAAAGGCTCCCAGCACCCCCCACCCAGGATGGAGCCCCCAGCCCGGCGCCAGCCACAGGCCCCTCACAAGGGGGTTTTCATGGAGCTGCACACATGGAGTTTCCTGGCGGCAGCCCCGGCACAGAGCGGAGCTTTGTCCAGCACCACGGCCGGGAGCTCAGCCCAGAGAAAGAAGTTTATTCAGGGAAAAAGAAAATAAAAAAAAGGCCATTTCTCTCTCTG